TAGAAAAATCAGGCGTGGCTGACCACATATGGAGAGAGAAGAGAGATCACCGCCCTCTGTGGGATCATATTGAGATCTTAGACAAGGAACACCATTGGAAAATTCGTAAACTTAAGGAATCAGCACAAGCCACAAAAATCTCCTGAGCCGACCAAGCATAGAAATACATACAATATGGGAACCAGTAATAAGGAGTGCCAGAGAAAAGCAATGATAACAAAGTTGCAATATGAGCACTGGTAAAAATGGTTGCTAAAGACATTAGGTTTATAATACCCAGAAATTCATACCCAGATGTCCTCAAGGACATATGGCACAGTGGATAAAGGCGTTGGTTAGATCCAGTGACAGGACCCAAAGAGTGTGAGTTCAATACCCGGTTAAGAGGGAAATTAGCAGGAGATAACTGGTAACTGACATCCATCAAACATGGCACGTGGAACTATAACAGTCTAGCCCAGTGAGCGAAATAAAGGGTTCAGTTCGAAATTCCAACCACCTGAAGAAGGCCGGAGCGTACAACGGCCGAAACGTTGTGATAAATATGGCGATAAAGATGAGGACAATAGTCCAAATAATGTAAATAATAGACTGGGTCCTGTAGCTTTGGTTGGCAACCAGATAAAAAGAAGGAAACTCAAATTCAAATCGCTTTCTGCTTTGTAGGTCCTAGCCTTTTAGGTGAAGGTTAAACGGAGGTAACTTTAAAAACAAAGCCCCTCTGTGATGGAGGTAACATCAATATCCATGTTGCAAAAGCTTTGAATGTCACCGTGAAACACTATCGTGTAATGGAAGTGGGTGGTGGTTACATGGCGAAAAATTTGCTTACTGAATAAAGGTATATGAAATAAATGAAAAGAAAATATTAATGCTTTCGTTCTATGTAAAAAATAGAAAATTATTTTGTGTCGTGTCTGGACGATGTTTCCCTTTGAAGCTGCTAGAATTTCACTCGTGATGCGTTACGACAAACATTGAGATGCTACAGAGAAAAACGCATTACGAGCTTCATGAGAACATCGTCGTTCGTTGATGGAGCGTTGAGCGGGAACCAGAGTAATCTTGTCGATACTGAATAGGAAAAAAAATGACTGAACACGCGTTTCATCTAATCAAAATAATTGTATCATCAAAAATCAGAGTTGGAAGCAAACTGATATGTTTCTGAAATGTGAATTTCGTAAAGTTAACTTTTGGAAAACTGGGTCAGCCGAATATGAAAGAACGAGGCAAAATATGATGCAATCTAAAAGCGAACTACTACAGAAAATGCGTAGCTATCAACTCTAAAAGGGATTTTTTTTTCAAATTAGGAGAATGACTGAACAAAGCTTTTAAATGAATAAAATAGAAGAGAAATTCTACTTGCAGCAGATCGATGTTTATCAATCACATTTTCAACGATGTCTATAAGATAATTATCTTGTGCCGGACTTAGGTAAAGTTAGCAAAAATATACTGAACATTTTAGAGATATCTCTTAAGGTAATTTCAACCGAAAATTGTATTTACAGTGGCTATTGATTTGAAAGATCTTTATTGTAAGGGCCATATTCTGCCCGAAAGACAACGATTATACGAAATCGGTATAAACATAAATTCTAGATAACAAAAAAAGACATTCTTGGAGGAAGTCAAATTCAGCGGGTGGGGTATGAAGAAAATAAAAAAGTTCAACGAAAAAAATATGCTAAAATGATGATAAATAGATGGAAATGAAGTGTGGAAAAAGAATTAAAACAGAAACGAGCCCCCCAAATCACTTGTGGACATTCACTTAGAGTCTCTTTCTTTCTTTCTTCCTTTTCTTTCTTTCTTTCTTTCTTTCTTTCTTCCTTTTCTTTCTTTCTTTCTTTTTTCTTGCTTTCTTTCATTCTTTCTTTCTTTTCTTTTCTTTCTTTCTTCCTTTCTTTCTTTTACTTTTTCCTTTTGTTCTTTCTTTCGTTCGTTCTTCCTTTTCTTTCTTTCTTTCTTCTTTCTTTCCTTTTTCTTGCTTTCTTTCTTTCTTTCTTTTTTCTTCCTTTCATTCTTTCTTTCTTTTCTTTTCTTTCTTTCTTCCTTTCTTTCTTTTATTTTTTCTTTTCTTCTTTCTTTCTTTCTTTCGTTCGTTCGTTCTTCCTTTTCTTTCTTTCTTTCTCTCTTTCTTTCTTTCTTTCTTTCTTCTTTCTTTCCTTTTTCTTTCTTTCTTTTTTCTTTTTTCTTTCTTTCTTCCTTTCTTTCATTCTTTCTTTCTTTTCTTTTCTTTCTTTCTTCCTTTCTTTCTTTTATTTTTTCTTTTCTTCTTTCTTTCTTTCTTTCTTTCGTTCGTTCTTCCTTTTCTTTCTTTCTTTCTCCTTTCTTTCCTTTTTCTTTCTTTCTTTTTTCTTTCTTTCTTTCTTTCTTCCTTTCTTTCATTCTTTCTTTCTTTTCTTTTCGTTCTTTCTTCCTTTCTTTCTTTTATTTTTTCTTTTGTTCTTTATTTCTTTCTTTCGTTCTTCCTTTTCTTTCTTTCTTCTTTTTTCCTTTTTCTTTCTTTCTTTTTTCTTCCTTTCTTTTTTCTTCCTTTCTTTCTTTTCTTTTCTTTTCTTTCTTTCATTCCTTCTTTCTTTCTTTCTTTCTTTCTTTTGTTCTTTCTTTCTTTGTTCTCTCTTTCTTTGTTCTTTCTCTCCCCCTTTCTTTCTTTCTTTCTTTCTTTCTTTCTTTCTTTCTTCTATTGATGCTTTTAATTCTTTTGCTTCAATATTTTTGATTTTCCCTCTTTCTTTCATTTAAACTTTAAATTTGTCTTTGTTCATTTCTGGTTCAATATTTTTGTTTTACCTTCATTCCTCCATTCAGGGTTTGTATTTTCATTCCTTCCTTTCTTATTCAATTTTTTTTTGTTTTTCTTTCTTTCATTCAAGCTTCATATTTGCCTTCTTTCTTTTCTCATTAAATAATTTTTTTTTTCTGCCTTTCATTCAAGATTTTTTTCCTTCTTTCGTTTGTCATTCAATATTTTTGCTTTTCCCTCTGTTTTTCATTCAAGCTTTGAATTTGCTTTCATTCTCTTCTCGTTCAATATTTTTGTTTTTTCCTTCTTTCTTTCATTCAAGTTTTATATTTTCTTTCTTTTCTTTTTTCTTTTTTTTTCTTATTCTTATTCATCGTTTACGTTTCTTTTTTTTTCTTTCTATCTTTTTTCTTTCATTCTCGCATTATAACTGCCTTCTTTCATTCCCACCATTTTCCTAAGTTATTTTCTCGTTTATGTTACATTCATTTTTTCATATTTGCCTCTTTTCTTTTTCTCATTCATTATTTACTCTTTCTTTTTTCTTTCACTATTTCATTCCTTCTTAATAGTTGTCTTCTTTCTATGTCTTTTAATCTCATTATTTAATTTTTGTATTTGTTTAATTTTCTCCGTCTTTTTGTCATGCATTATTTATTTTTTCCTTCACTTTTTCACTTTTTATGTTTAACTTCTTCTTTCTACCTTTTTCGTTTTTATCTCATTCATTTGTTATATTTATATTTTCTTTCATTTTATCATTCATTGTTTTTCATTTTCCTTCCTCCTATAATTTATTCCTCATCTTTCTCCTTCCTTTTTCTCTTTCTTTCCTTTTTGTTCCTTCCTATCATTTATTCCTTATCATTCCTCTACCTTTTTCTCATTCATTCTTTGCCTAACTTTCTTCTTACCTCTGACTTTCTTCATTCTCTTGATCGTCTATGTATTTTGTTGCTTCTTTTCATCTTTTCCTTCTTAAGATCTCGTCTTTTCATCTTTTCCTTCTTAAGATCTCGTCTTTTCAACCACCTTCAGACATGCATCTCATATTGCCACGAACAGAAATCATCCGAAAATAATTTTTTTCCTAGCAAGGATCTGATTTCTGTGAAAAGCCTCCAGACTGCCATTCTAATTTGGAAGCAATTTAAATATTGGATCAGTAACTATTACGACTAATAATTCTTCTGCAAAATACCATTGCTTGTATTACATTAGATTACATAGGACAATAATAAATATGGCATTAATGTTAAGTTGGAAATGTTCAAATATATTTACTACATGAAAATAATATTAATAACCAGATTTAATAATAATAATAATAATAATAATAATAATAAGAAGAAGAAGAAGAAGAAGAAGAGAACCAAATGATTGTCGTAACTCTTCCAATATTTATAAACACTTAGAGAAAAGCGCGATTTAAGAAATTAAAAAAAAACGCAATGTTCAACAATATTTCGGCAGTACGTCTGTCTTCAAGTTATTTATATTTCTAATCGATATCACTCCATTCAAGGCAGCAAAGCCACTACGACACAAGGGGTTACAGGGTGTGGAAGAATTAGAAACAGAAACATTAATAATGAGTGGAAAGAGAAAAGAGTAATCAGGAGAATAGTAAATAGCGATTGACATTCCATTTAATGTTTTGCAGATTAAAGTTGGCTGGAAAGCATGGAGCCCAAAAGGGAGTTCCACATGCAAGGAAAGAAATTGTTAACATAGAAATTACGGCAACACCTAACCAGCTCAACTGCCAATTGATGAGATCTCGACGTCATTCTAGTACTGTGCTTAAATTCATGAAGTCCAGGTACCATAACGAATTGTAACAAGTATTAAAAAAATATTCAAAGAATCTACACAAAAGTCTTTGTATAAACGTCTTCTGTCTTAATAAAACGGCTGCACATTTAATCAAATTATTATCAAATACTCTACTTTTATTTCTTTTTGTACTTAACTTCTGTAAGTGTTGCAGTAGTACTAGTATAGCTGGCTAATCGTATTCGAAGATACCTGTCTACTAGGGCCGCTAGCTAATCCCTACTGCAGACTCTTGCTCAGACATATTTGTGTTTATTCAACAGCCACAAAGCCAACCTGTGGTTTATACTGCAATTATGCTAAGCAGACCTTAGTTACAGGGAAAGATCGTGCTATATAGCGTCATCAACAATTTGAACAAGGCCAGCATGTTCAAGCACTCAACCACAATGACTTATGACTATTTAGTGGTATTCTCAAGCGGTCACCTATCTAATTACTGACCAGGCTCGACGCTGCTTAACGTCAGTGATCGTACGGGAACCGATTTTTGAGCATGATATTGTTGTAAGATATACCACCTTCACATCTAAGGTAACAGCACCAGGTACTCTCAAGCGGTTACCCATTTAAATACTGACTAGACTCGAAGTTGCTTAACTTCGGTGATTGTATGGGAATCGTTGTTTTAGCATGTCGTTGCCGTAAGCTGGAAATAATATCTTCTAATAATCCAACGCAGTCGTCGTACGCTTACTGTTATTGTGTGGACCATGGGTTTCTCTAGCCACAATGGTACCCGGAGACCTTTCTCTCTGTTTCATTTATAACTTCAGGACCTAAAAACTGTTCAATTTTCTCCTTTCCTCGATTTTGATTCTCATTAAATTTTCTTTTTTTTGTTTTGTTTTGCTACTGAGCGTTTCATTCTGTGTTTACGTAATCGATAGCTGATCTGACCTACTTTAGGTGAACCCTTTTATATAGAATTAGCTTCTGATTTGAGATTATATTTTTTTATTGGTTGCTTCTATTCACAGATGTTTGCATAATTCTGGATTTGGCCGGCACTTTGGCATGGTTCAATGATTGGCAAGCTTGTCTCGATAAATTATTTACGACTGAACAATGATTTCAATCCTCGCTGGGTGCACCATTCTTTCGGCCTTATGCCATATCTAAACACTAATTCTCATCGGAATATAATTCAAATCCAAGCATATCAGAACTAATTTAAGGGCTCAATTTTGCAGTCGTTTTTTGTCAACTAAAATTAAATTTTCGTCATTATTTCTGAGTTTAAATTTAGACAGTTTAATAAAACATTCTGCATATTCAAATTGTCAGAAATAGAAATTTAAATCCATGCATTTCCCCACCCAAAAAAAAACAAAACAAAAAAAAAAAACAAGAATCTAGGTTTACCTTTTTTGTTTTTTGTTGTTTTTGGGGATATTTTCTCGATTGTTTCTTCTTTTTTTTTAAATTAGCTCCACCCCAAGGAAGGCAATAAAGCCACTAAGATGCAAGAGATAACTGAGTTTAAAAAAATAAGAAAATAACTACTATTAAGATGAGAGAGCAATAAAAGAAGAAGACAGAAGACAGAAGATAACGATTGACATTCCATTTATATTTTTGAAAATCGAAATTAACTGAAAAACGAGAAGCTGGAAGATATTTCCACAAGCGAGAAGTGCGTTAGAAGAAACGGTTAACATAGAACTTACGGTTAAATCCAGCCTTTTCAACTGTAAAATTACGAGACCTTGGTGCCAATCTAGTACTGCGCTTAAATTCATGAACTTCAGGTAGCATCAAAACAATTACCATGAAAGTATTTATAGAAAAGACAGAGGGAAACTACATTACGCTGGGTGGGAAACTGACTGAAGGCGAGAAGCCAGGTTAGGACCATTAATATTACAGGTTCTACTTTAGAGTTCATTAAGAATCTATAATCTATACCAGGATCTCCAGACGAGATATTAATCCACGTAAAAAACCAGGTAACATAGAAAGAATATCTTTGCCTGTCGTTTGATTGATTTTCAAAATTTATTTAATACGCACTATTTACATTAATCTGACTATGATTCTCATCTTTGTTGCCATATCTATCACAACGTTTCGGCCGTAGTACGCTCCGGCCTTCTTCAGGAGGTTGGAATGTCGAAGTGAACCCTTTATTTCGCTCGCTAGGTTAGATTGTTCTAGTTCCACTTGCCATGTCTAATGGTTGTCAGTTATCAGCTATCTCCTGTTAATTCACCTCTCCAAGTTCTCCACTGCCTTAACCAGGTATTGAACTCACAACTCTTTCTGTCCTATCACTGGAAAACTTGGATAGGTGAATTAACAGGAGATAACTGATAACTGACATCCATTAGACATGGCACGTAGAACTAGAACAATCTACCCCATATTTCAACCACCTGAAGAAGGCCGGAGCTTACAACGGCCGAAACGTTGGGATTATAGCAAAAAAGATGGGGATGATAGTCCGAGCAATGTAAATAGTGTACATAATACCTCATCTCAGAAATATAGACTGTTATTTAATATGCATCGTTCACAACTTGGGAATAAAATGTAAAGATCATACAATAATAGGTAGTCTTCAGGAGGTTAAGGATCATGACTCTCCACAATTTCCTGGTCTTTGTAGATCAAAGAGGCCTCGTAACTGAAAAATTGTCGAGCACAACAGACTGAACTAACTTTGCTAGCAGTACATCTAGCCATTGTTTCAATATAAGCATTCAACTAAGGATCGAAACGAAAAGAAAAAAAGATAATGTTAAACTGCTGTAAAATATAAATCCTTCTTTATGGCAGTGAATGATGGGAAATTTCTTCACAGATGAAGAGAAGACTTGGGAGAATATACATGTGGTTTTAAAGAAGGAGAAGGAGAATAAGATGGTTGGAGCTTACAAGCAACGAGAATGCTTTAACGAAAATAGATCAGAAGAACAAAAATTAGACATAAAATCAGGAGAGACACCATTAACGCTTCTCAGAGTGAGGAAAGAAGACTTAGAAAATACGAAACTCACATGATATATTGACAGCAAAAACAAACAAACTGGACATTGTGTGATAGTAAAAAGAGAAAAAAATACTAAGAAATAAAAAAGATAAGAAGTTGTGGAGAGACATATCCCGCCACATGTTGATGGCCCGTGGCCAATAAAACAAAAAGCATGATGTAGATGTATTTTAAGATTTATTCAAAGGCGATACGACTGGATGGCACGTGGCCAAATCACTAGAACATTCTCTTTCCGACCATGAGAATCAGGTTCGAGTTTCAAGTGGTTGAAAACCATACCACGTGCTGACCATAGCATAAAGGAAATTGGATAGTCGATGGTTGTGCTAGTATGAAGTCACAAGTCATCGTGACCGAGGCTTTGAGTGCATTGGCCTTGTTCACACTGTTGACCATGTTAGACAATGAGTTCTCACCCCCAGTAACTTAAACTAATATCCGATCAGTATAGTTGCAGTATAAACCACAGGTAGATTCTGTGGCTGTTCAACAAACAACAAAGATGTTTGAGCAGGCGTCTACAACATGGATTAGCTAACCACCATATATATATATATATATATATATATATATATATATATATATATATAAAGTTACGAATATATATATAGTTACGAATATATATATATATATATATATATATATATATATATATATATATATATATATATATATTGTGTTAAATGAATTTTATTTTTTAGTTTCACCTTTTGGAAGAGATGTCTGATGATCCAGGGTACTTTAAAAGTTCTCTGGTGAAATAAACTATTACAATGAAGCCTTAATGTGGTCTGTTCTTCTTCTTTAATATATATATATATATATATATATATATATATATATATATATATATATATATATATATATATATATATATTGTATATACAAATAAATTACAATAACCCAAAAATATTATTCTTAAAAGAGTGCTCAATATAAAGTTGAACAAATATAATTTATTCGAAAATTATAACATAAATATGTTATAAAATCACTTTTCGAAGTGTTGAAACAAAATGGTTATTTTTGTAGAGATTTTATAGCATATTTATTTTATAATTCCTGAATAAATTATATATATATATATATATATATATATATATATATATATATATATATATATATATATATAAAATAAAATGATAATAAATGTAGTATAATTCTTTACTATACGTAAAATTTTATTTAAAGTTTTCTTTCAGAGTAGAGATAAATATGATTCATTTTAGGATTTATCACGTTTCTGGTGTTGAAATATTTTTGTCATCATGTAGCGATTTTTAACTTTTTATTTTGAATATTCAAAATTGTGTATACAAACTTGTCTATTGTACATACAATTTTGAATCTTCATCACGAGAAAGCGATAGACAACTTTCGGAATCTCTACACCTAAAAACTGCATTAGCGGCATGAAACTCCGAGTTGTGTTATTGACGTTTGACATTATATGTATATATATGTATATTCACTAATATATAATTATAGCTCTGTTTCATAACATTGAGCACTCTACTTATAACACCTGAGGAATAAATATACTTACGTGCAAGTATTTGTACTTGTATCTACATTTTTATCTCATCCATATATATATATATATATATATATATATATATATATATATATATATATATATATATATATATCCGCGCGCGTTTTGTGTGTATTTTTTTGAACAACAAAAAATATTAAAATTTTCAGACACTGTGGGTTATATATTAATATTAGTTGTTTTATACTTTCAATAAGGTTCCTTGACTAGTTTCGGCCAGCATGGCCATCATCAGGAGAAAAAAAAACTGCTTTTTAGTAGCAGCGAACTACAGGTGTGACTGACTGTCTCTACAGAAAATAAGCATTATCTGTATTTTTTATTTGTTTTCTATCGTTAATTTTGGTTAGTCCTTCTATTGGTTAAACGGCCTCTGTCAAGTTGTTTTTAAAATAAAGGCAAGGAGATTCCTGAATCTTAGGATACCCACCTTGGCCATTACGACAGTTTTATTGGTTGCTGAGTATGAGATGTTATCTTTTAATATCGATAAAAAGAATACCCGCTCGGCCCGGTGGCTAGGATCAAAGTGTAGTATCTGCGCTTTGTGAGCTGCCGAGCCGGGTGTCTGTCGAACTCTCTGCTTGCAGAGAGGAACCCTGACGAAGCTCCGCCGAAGGGTAGGGTTTCGTTGGGGGAGGTTGACGGAACTAGCCCGCTTGGACGGGTTTAGATGGGTTTTATTTTTTTTGGCTGGGCCTACGGGCTCGGACATACCCACATTAAAAGGCCTTGTGCCACATTCAATTCCTGTGGGTGAATTGATAAATACCATCTTTTAATTTTTGGGAGTTTTTGAACCAGCGTATGTGTAAAAAGTTTAGGGATAAAGTGTGTATATACGTGGGACCTCAGCATCTCTGCAAGCATGTCTGTATTGTGTGGGAGAGAAATGTGGGTATGGCTTGAGGGTGCATGAAATGGGGAGTTTATTTGGGGGTGCGTACGGAAGAAAACACCAAATATAGCAGTGATAGTCCATAAGAAAACCAGACTTTTACACAGACACATCTAACCATTTATTTCAAGTCATCGTCGTTTTGAATGTCATGGCCTTGTTGATAGCAGCAGGTAATTCGCTC